CGATGTAATTTGAATTGAAATGACAAAGTTAGTCCTTTCATGTGATAGTTATGTGAGTTTATTTAACAGAATACTAATGAAAATAGCTCAAAAACCATCTCTAACTGAGAGATAGGCCAGAGGGCTCATGAGCCTCTCAGAGTTTGAAATGGCCAAATAGCCAACCAGCTGACCACTTTCAGCCAACCAGCTGCCCACTGGCTTGCCCAATTTCAATTCTTTATTTTTTTTTTGTTCTTTTCTATCAGCCCAACTTTTTTTTTTTTTTTTTTTTGTTCTTTTCCATTGCCCAGCCCACTTTAGGGTTTAGGGCTTAGTTTTTTTTATTTTATTTTTTATTTTTTATGGTCCCTGTCACATCCCACATCGATCAGGGGAGTAGATCCTTTAAGCCTTATTTGTATATTCTCATCTCTACTTAGCATGAGGCCTTTTGGGAACTCACTGGATTCGGGTTCCATCGGAACTCCGAAGTTAAATGAGTTCAGGTAAGAGCATTACTAGGATGGGTGACCTACTGAGAAGTTCTCATGTGAGTTCCCAGACACAAAACCGTGAGGGTGTGGTAGGGGCCCAAAGCGGACAATATCGTGTTACGGTGGAGTCGAGCCCGGGATGTGGTGGGGGCATGGGCCGGGATGTGACAAGTCCTAGCCTACTTTTTGTTTTTATGACCAACAACTTTTTGTTTTTTGTTTTGGACTTTTTTTTCTTTTTTCTTTTTTTAATTTCTAATTTTTTCCTACACCATTTCTCACATTTTCTCACTATTTCAGAGTATCTTACCTCATTTTATTTCAATTCTTCACATTCCATACTATAACCCTTTGGCTTTCGGTTGGAGACGGTTTTTTGTAACAGGGCTAAAACGAGTCATATGGCCCTTTGGCCCTCAGTTGGAGATGGTAAGGAATATGACCCTGTATTGTTCATTAAAATATTAATTTCTTGGAGGGCCAGAGGGCTAAAACGAACCATTTGGCCAGCCTTCGGTTGGAGATAGCCTTATCTTCTCCCATTTCTCATTTCTTTATTGCTAAACATTGGTTTAGGTATTCTGATGGGCAACGCCCTTTGATATTTTCCAATTGTTACATTGGTTTTTTGATTGTTTATACATTATTTTCCAAAGTTTTTCTCATGATAACAAAGTATGATACATGATTATCCTAATATTAAGATATGAAAAACATTTTAATCGCTGAACAAACAAGTCCACATGCTTAAGATTAAATTTTGAACTCGTTATTCGTTAAACAACATTCGTCTTGTGAAATCACAGTCCAATTCGATTCCCCGATCCTTCAATAAAAATAAAAAAGGTCAGTATTAGAACTCTTATAATGTGATTTTTCAAAACTGGACTCATTTTGTAAATTGCTCAAATAATCGAAATGTTTGGGACACGAAAGGGCAAAGTTGTGCTTTACTCGTCGACACTTAAATCTCTATATTCTCAATCTTCAATCGTTACACCATTGTTATTTCGTTAATATTTCGTTAATATTATTTCGTTAATATTCTCAATCCTTAAGCTGCATATGGCCAGCCTAGCAACCCTTTAGCTCGAAATCTTTGACAAGATTTTATTTAGCCCACCATTGAAGATGAATTTTTGTAAAAAAAATAAAAAAATATAATAAGCCCCTTGGCTCTCGATTGAAGATGGCCTAAGAGTTTCAATATTAAGATAATCACAAATGTTGGATACAAGAATCTCAAATCATATTATTTTTCGTGCTTTGTTCATCTACAAATATATAAATTGTAATAGTAAAAACTAGAGTAATCTATTCTATACTATTGACAAAAGGAGGGCAAAATAGTATTTTTTGTGCATTGTTCATCTCCTTTTTTCCTATTTTGCCCTTACTTTTGATACACACTATTGACAAAAGGAGGGTAAAATAGTAATTTTGTACATTTTGACAAAATGACAATCATATCCCTATTTTTCCTATTTTACTCTTTTTTTTTCTTTTTGAGAAAATAACAATCATATAGTTATTTTTTCAATTTTACCCTCACTTTTGATACACAATATTTATATAAAGAGGACAAAACAATAATTATGTAATATTAAAAAAAAATATGCACTTATTAAGAGAAATTGTTCACATACACAAAGTGTGTGCTCTCTGCTAATTTTTTTATTAGGGCAGTTCCACCATGTGCTCCAGCCTGAGGGACAGGCGCAGGAACAAGGCCATGTGGCCCGAGTGATGAAGCCCAGCATGTGCTGGCGAGTGAGCTTGAGCAGGCCCGAGGGAAGGGCCCGACACGAAGGGAATGTGATGTGGGCTGACGTCAGGATGATGTCAGCCATAATATAAAATTAACAAAAATATAAAATATTAATAAAAAAAAAATGAAAACCCAGTAGGCTTTGAACTCAACAGCTCTCGTTGGAGTTCGTCACCAAGGCTAATGATACACCCACAAACAAATGGTAGAGACTAAACCCAAGGGTTTCAACTCAAAACACATAAAAAACTAGAGAATAACTCAAGCAATTGAAGTAGGGTAATAACCTCATTTGGGTTTGAGCAATGGAAGCTTGAAGCTTTCTGCTTCAATGGTGGATCACCCAAATGGTGCTCTGATGATGCAAGCAAGGATATATTCGAGTTCCTCTCATCCAAGGGATTGAGATTTCAGAGTTTGTTAGTTTGATTTGCTTTGGTTTCGAAGAAGAGGAAGGATGAGAGCTCTCGCAGCTGTAGAAAGAGAATGAGAAAGACTAAGGAGGATGTATTCAATTGGGAATTTGAGAGATTTTAATGGATTTTTACGGAGTTTAACTGATTTGTAGAGATTCTATGCAAAATTTTGATTCAATTCTCTTGAAATCTCATGGGAAATGTGAGATTTGTAGATGCTTAAAATACACTACTAAATAGTCTAAATCTCTCCAATTTCCTCAATTCCTCAACTTTTCCAAATTCTCTAAATTCTAATTCTAATTGAATACACCTGGAATGTTATAAACTTCCTTAAAATTCTAATTGAATACACCTAGATTTTTAAGGATTTTAATAAACTATCTTAAAATCTTGATTGAATACACATTGAATTTCAGAGAATCATTTAAAATCCTGATTGAATACCCTTAAATTCATTAAAAGAATTCAAATTCCTCAAAATCTCAATTGAATACACCTCTAAAGAGAAAGAGAGAGGTTTCAGAAATGAGGGAAAAGGGTTGCATCAAGAGAGAGAGAGAGAGAGGGGGGGGGGAATAGGAAAAGGAAAAGGAAAAGAAAAAGGAAAAGTGTTTCGGAAAACAACGAAAATGAAGAGTGTTCTGGAAAAAAATGAAAAGGAAAAGGAATAGGAAAAATAAAATAAAAATTATTTTGTATTATTTTATAAATAAATAAAATACTAATAGTTTATTACTAATTACCATAACTATTTAGTGTAGGAATGAAGATATAAAATGTAATTACTGTTTATTAAGAGCAGTTACTATTCATTGACGGGATTAAATAGTTGATAAACCTTAGACACGATGAAACTGCTTTTAAAAAATTCTCCTTGATGGACCCAAATGAAAAAAAACCCAGCAGCCAAGCACTTCAACGGCAAAGCCCCACCCTTCACTCCCACTGCCTGCCATGGCTGCCGCCCCTCTCTACCCAAATTTTCTGCTTATTTCCTCATCTGAGTTGCAGCAATTTATTGGGTTTTCTCCATTTTAGTTTATGGAAAAAAGAGTTATATTGTTTATGGGATTCAAACAGAAAGAAAGTGAATTGGACTTTAAATCAGAAGAACATACAAATCTTCTAATTTTTATCCAATCTCACCATCCTCATCAAGAACAAAAATGTTCCAACAAATTCCACGTATCAGGAAGGGAGCGATGGTGAGAAGACTATGGACACCGTGGTTCTTTTTCATTGGGTAATACAAATCGGCTGTTTCTACGCCTCGACTGAACCTGAAAATTTTGTACATCTCAATCACTTGGAAGGGGACTAAGATAATCTTTGGAGGTTTGCCTCCACAGCCAACGGACCCATTAATTATGGACACTAAATTTAATCGTCTGGCCATGAAACCAGAGGGGAAAGGGTGCAGGCAATGAGAGGAGGAGGAGGAGGGGATGGGGGTTGGATGACGGCAGTCATGGAGGTGGGTGACTGCTGAGTGGTGAACATGTGCGCGAATTTAGGGATGTGAGTGTTGTGCGTGAAAAGTAAAGAAATTTTTTTTTGCCGTAAGATCTAATCTCAAACGGTTTGGATTTTGTTGATCCTCCCTTTCCGGAACAAAATTGATCCGGAGGATCCTCCACACTTGAAAGAAGAGACGGTGTCAGAAAATACTATCGTTACCGCCCAAAATTTGCGGGTCAAACTCAAACGGGTGTGGATTGATGCTCAAATTTCGTACGGTTAACGTAAGATTAACATATTGAATAATCAACAACTGTAGTAAAATAAACATAAGAATATATAGTGGATTGATGTTCACGTACCGTAAGATTAACGTAAGATTAACATAATGAATATAATCAACAACTGTAGTAAAATAAACATAAGAATATATAGGGCTACGTCCACTGCAGTCTGTTTAATATAATTTCCTTAGATTATAAATATGGCTAGATCCGCTACAGTCTATTACACAAGTTTTGATAACTCATTCGAATGACTTTATGATATATGTCAAATTTACACTCACTGGGGAACACACGTGATAATTTCGCATTACAAACAACTACGTTACGGATATTTTCATATTGCAACAACTGGAAAACTACAATGATCAAATTCGATACAACTGAAAATATATTAAACAAAATTAAAATTTTGGTTTTAATGCTATGTATTATTTAATTCTACGAGTATTTTAGCTATCATTGAGATTTGCTTTTCACAAATACTTAGATCTTATATTTTGAACCTTAACCATTTATTTTCCGTATTATTCAATTATACGTAATATTTATAAAAAAAAAAAAGAAAAAAAAAAAGAAATCCAAGTACAAGAACTATAAACTCAATAGGGCTTTATTTGATTGGAACATTTCGAACAATTTATTCCCAAACGAACCACAAGTACAACAAACTTATGATTTATCAGATTTGGGGGAAAATAGGGCTTAATTTGATTGGACCATTTCGAAGAATTTATTCCCAACAGGCCCAATTGAATCGGGGGTTGCAGAAAAGCATGGAAAATGGGAAACGAAGAAGAAGGTGGTGTTTCGTACGGAGCACCGGGGGAAAGGAAACAAATGAACTAGCTAGTCTTACAGTTTAGAGGTCAGGACCTTCCTAAGCTCCCTTCTCAGGATCTTCCCAGCTGCAGACTTTGGAATTGAATCTGTAAAAACCACCTTCCTTACCTTCTTGTATGGAGCAACTTGTGCAGCCACAAAATCCATCACGTTCTCCCCCGAAACTCGACTTCCGTGCTTCCTCACCACAAATGCCACTGGTATCTCTCCACTTTCCTCATCCAGCACACCTGCCACTGCAACATCTAGTATCTCAGGATGGTTGATCAGCACGGCTTCTAAATCCGCCGGTGCAATCTGAAACCCCTTGTATTTGATCACGTCTTTAAGCCGGTCTTGTAGGTTTAGGTATCCGTGTTCGTCAAAGTACACAATGTCCCCTGTGTGCAGCCAACCCTCTTCATCAATTGTCGACATTGTTGCCTCGGCATTGTTCAAGTATCCATTCACGATCCCTGGCCCGCGCAGCCACAGCTCACCGCTGCTTGTGGGAGGCAGAGGGGATCCTGTTTTCCAATCCACCACTTTGGCCTGCATGTTTGGAGCTAAAAGCCCCAGTGAAAAGGGTTTTTTAAGGCTTTCGGTGTTGAAACCGCGAGTTCCTACTGCCGTGGTCTCAGTCATTCCATAACCCTGAATCAAATCGACATGAGGAAGAGTGCGAACAAAGTCCTCTATCGATTTCGCGCTCAAAAGGGCTGCTCCGGATGAAACCTGCTTCACACTCTTGAGGCTTTGTTTGACCAAACCATCCTTAGCTTTAGCTGTCAATGCCGTTAAAATCGGCGGAACAACCGGAAAGTGTGTAACTTTGTACTTCTCAATTGCTTTCACCACCTCATTGACATCAAATTTCTTCATCACAACAATTCTTGATCCTAAAGAAAGCAACCCCATCCCGAAAAGCACCAACCCGTAAATATGAAACAACGGCAGAACATTCAAGTACACATTGCTCAAACTCGAACCCTCGTATTGTGAAGCCTCAAACCTCACGAAAAGCTCCACTGCAGCTATGAAATTCCTGTGTGTGATCACAACACCTTTGCTCGCACCAGTAGTCCCGGAAGAGTACATTATCGCCGCGGTGTCTTGCTGCCTAATCACTGGTCTTGGAGCCAAACCAACATTACCATTAACAAGCTTATAAAAAACCGAAAAAGCCTCCTCCTTCGAATCCAAAGCTGCATTGTCTGGAACCAAAACTGCAGGAACACCCAATGCCTGTAGTTTACCAACATATTCAAGTCCAGTAAAAGCACGACGCGCTTTTGAATCACCAACCTGTTTCTTGATTTCCCCCACACTGCTAAGAGGATTCATCGTCGTGACGATTGCACCAGCGTACAAAACTCCCAAGAAAACAATGGGATAGTAAATGGAATTCGGCAAAAGGAGCAGAACAACGTCACCTTGTGAAATCCCCATTTGCCGGAGGCCGGAGGCAAATGATTTGACACAAGAGTAGAGCTGGGGGTAAGAAAGTGAGGACCCAGATGAGGAATCAATGAGGGCAGGTGAAACCCCAGTGTGCTGGTGTGAGAAGATGAAGGTGACAACATCCAGAAAAGGGTCTGTGGGGAGGGTAATTTCTGGGTGTTTACTGCAGTAAATTCCTGTTTCTGGTGAAAACCACCATGGGTACTTGTGATCCTGGGTGCTCTGTTTCTGTGAGATATGGCTGTTGAACATCTTGGTTAAGGTAGTCATGGCCATTGTAGAGAGAGAGAGAGAGAGAGAGAGAGAGAGTGAAACTGAGAGAGACTGAGAGAGAGAGAGAGACTGATATGTCGGTGTAATAGAGAGAGAGTGAATTGGTGGCTATTTAGCATGCAAGTTTTGCTGGTCGTTTCATCAGACGGTGGCCACAAGTTTTCTCTGGTCAAGAATGACTCAGAAGATATCAGAGATTCGTAAGTGCTTGCTATTTTCTGTCCTCATAATCTTTCTATGGTTAGTTTACTTCCTTTTCTTCTTTAAATAATTGAAAGCCACTGATACTAGCCAACTGATTGGTTAAGGGATTCGCTCCTACATCTAAGATTCTGTGTTAAATTCTCTTTCGTAGTGTAAATTATTGTATTGTTTGTAAAAAACATAAAACAATAATTGATGTCGGTGTGTTTTTTTTTTTTTGTAAGTAAAATTGAAATTGTGTGATCCTTCGTTTGAAAATGAAGGTTGCAATCAAGGCTGAAATGACGTACCAAAATTAGTAGTATACTAATACTTACCAAAATTGGGGTATTAATGTAACAAATTAGTGATACGTAATGTCAATTATATATGTGTGTTCATGTCATATATCATGTACATATGTGCATTTATATCATATGTCACTTAATACTATGGTCTAATGATATTCCTCTTCATTTGTGAGTGAGAGGTCATAGGTTCGATTCTTGCCAAAGGTAAATTTGAACTGCATTATTACTAGCTCATTGTAAGGCTAACCCCCCTCCTTTTAGTGTAGATAATATCGTTTATTAAAAAAAAAAAATCATATATCATGTCCCATAATTGGTATGTTATGGTTAATACTTTTTTTTTAATAAACGATATTATCTACACTAAGGGGGAGCCGGTGGGCATAGCCTCATAGTGGGCAAGCAATAATGTAGCTCAAATTCGCTTTTGGCAAGAATTGAATCTAAAGTCTCTCACTTACAAGTGAAGAGGAATGCCACTAGACCATAATATTAAATGGCAAAAATATATCCTATTAAAGGTTGGGAAATTTTATTTAAACCCATGTAACCTATTTCTATACCCAACTTACTCTTTGCACCCATTGGATTTTTAACTAAACTATTAATATCTCTTTAAACCCAAATTTATTACCTATTATACCCCCATAAACCCAATTCAATATGTGGATTTTTCTTTACACCCATTTGTTTTTTAACTCTATCTTTACACCGTCTGGAAATGAATACTGAAAATTGGGGTGTGAATTCAGCCATGGTTGACAACAAGACTAACACTTCTATAAATGTTGACAAAAATCATGTATCACCATCTCTCCCTTCGCATTATCAATCAACGAGTGCATTGTTCTGGTTTTGTTTTTCTCTTCAAGTTCCCCCCTTTTTATTTTTTAATTCGATAAAAGGCCATATATGAAAGGAGATTGGAAGTTTGAATAAATTGATAAGCTTAAAATCTATTCATGGTGATTTTTTGGTTAATCAATAAATTAGGTAGGGTTTGAGGTGATTAGGTTGTGTCTTATCGAAGTTGTTTTTTTTTTTAATGATTGGGGGGTTTCACATAGTTGCAAGCAGTTACAGAAAAAAGAAAATCGGCGCAAAAGATGGAAAAGATGAGAGAGAAGGTGGTGGTGGTGGTAGTGGTAGTGGTGGTAGTGACGGATCGCTGCACGTGAATCAGGAAGAAGCATTGAATTGGAGCAGGAGCTACACAGGGACTCCTCCTTCAATCAATCGATTTCAACATGGCTTCTAATATTAATTGAAACACTTTCTTTCTTTCTTTTTGTTGAGTGACTGCAGCAATTTGCTGTTGCGGAAAGATAAACAAACTATACGGGATTGATTGAAAAAAAATTAAAATCAAAATACTCATCTTCTAAACTCTAAAAAATTGAAATCAAACGAACAAAAAATTCATAAATTGAGTCATACCTTGGTTGGAGGATTCAAAACTTCAAAATCACCATTCATCAATAAAAAAATATTTATTTTTCTCTATGAGAGCTATTAGGGTTTTAGCCGGAATGAACATAGGATAAACAAAGAGTGATCGTAGGGTTTAATTATAGTGTTTGGGTTTATTGATAAATTTGAGTTTTAGTATTAATTTCATTTTGTACTTAATAGTAATTATGTAATAGGGTAAAATAGACAATTAACATTTAAAATTTAAGTTGGGTGTAGAAAGAAGTTACATGAGTTCCCTTAAAGGTTGTATTCCTAAAATTTTAATGATAGTTTTTATTTAATGTTACTTAAATAAAAATTGTTATTAAAAATTTAAATAAAAACTAGTCTCTACATATCATAATAGTTGTTAATTGTTAATATATATTGACATGTACTTCCATTTAGTGTCGGCAAAAATCAACTTATTCTTTTTTTTTTGTCGAATTATTGACTTTATTATTTTAAAATCTTGACTCCATCCTATAGACACATGGACTTGTGGAGGGATTTTTCAATGTGACCATTACACAAGGTGGTACATCACGTGTTCTTATATAAATAGTGCAATATGTGTGTTAAAAGGTTAATAACTTAAAAATTAAAACTTTTCATCACTTACATAAAAACACGTTATGTACCATCCGTGTTCCCATTACAATTAAAAATTTCTCAGACATATGATCTTTTGTGGGGTTTTAGTTTTGGTAGCTTTCTATGGTCATTAAATATTTGTGGACCGTAGAAATCCTTTCGAGAGACTTTTTCCAATACCCCATTCAACCTTGTAGTTGTGGAGAGATTTTTTAGTGTGATCGGTACACGAGATGATACATCATGTGCCACTATACAAATGGTGAGATCTATGGAATGGAACAATAATAATTGCTGCTCCTTAAGAACAACTCCACAGTTGCAAAGGCCCCCTATAGCTATTCACTATTTAATACACCCAGTGAACAGTAACTGTCATTAACGAACAATAAATGTCTTTTGCATCTCCACCCCTACATTGAATAACCCTGGCAATAGGGAATAAAATATTAGTATTTTTCTATCTATAACATAATACAAAATAATTTTATTTGTAATTTCTGATAAGATTTTTAATCATTCTCGTTGCCCCACATGTCATTATCCGAAAAGACAATTATTGGTGATGGATTTCGATAAAAATTTTATCCAATGTTGTTGTGCCACATGTCGTTACCTTCTCAAAATCGTTGAGGATAGATTTCCGATAAGATTTTTAACCAATCACGTCGCGACTCAAATTTTTTTTCGAATTTTTATTAATTTTTTACATTTTTTTTTTAATTTTTTTAAATTTTTTGTTCACATAATTAATCTCTGCCGTTGGATTAAAAAAAATTGAATTCCAACACTCCAGATTGTGCCACGTGGCGCAACGGTAAGATTTCAGAATTTTAAACTGTTTTTTCTTTTTTTAATTTATAAAGCCGAATAACGTAGACCATTGATCTCAGATCCAACGACTGAAATTAAATAAGGTTTTAAAAAAAAAATTTACTGTTGGAAATCCAACGATCTATAAAATGTTGCTATTGAAATCCAACGGACGTGGGGAAGCCACGTAGCCTCCCCAACGATAACATTTCAGAAAAGCGTCACAGGCCCCATATCTGAAACCGTGTCAGACGACCCATGCCCACACGCGCTTGAAGCACACGCGCCTGACGCAAAAAAGAGAGAAAACGTGGCTGACATCGCCCTAACGTCAGCCTTGCATCATACACACTCTGGGCTCTCGGGCCAGCGACTCCCCACTGGCCTCTCACATACGCCTTTGTGGGCAGAAGCATGCAGCTCGGGCCATTGGGTTGGTGGGGAAGCCTGTCCATAAGGCTATTTATGTCACGCCCCAGACCCGAGGTCAATAGGAAAAATCTCGAACCCAAATCCGGCATGCGAGCTAAAAATAAAATTAAATAAAAGGAAAGTGAAACTGGGTGGAAATATAGGAAATTCCTCTTATAACAAGAAATTGACAATTCTTTACAAGACTAAAATAAATAAATACAAAATTATATCCTCACACTTAATTTGATCTCATCATGTCTACCTTTTTTTACTGTTTAGTTCTTAAACCTACATAACAATAGAGGGGTGAGTTTTAACAGCTTAGTAGGGACATAACCTTATCATAGTAAATTGACAATATTAAATTAAGTGTCATGTCATATAATCAAATATCAAATCATTATTGATAATAATGCATGAATGCAATTGAACTTCTTCGTTTACCCCTGTTAATTTATATAATATAACATGCGGACCTGGACGTCCCATGCATTTTACCCCTGCAGGAGTGGTTTGAATGTTCTATTATAGAAACTAACCCCTATATGATATCCCAAGTTCATAAACCCCTTTTGCTAGTCATCTTATCTAATTCATTGATCTCCAGCCCAAATCACTCACTTCGAGAATTCCCATCGATATCTTATTCTACTGTGTACATCGAGTTTGCCTGGAACTGGTTTCACAATGAATAGATTCAACTAAAAGATCCTTTCCAACTACCCTCATTTCCATACTTCCAATCTGAATACTGAAATTCCAACCACATCAACATGAATGATGCAAAAATGATGTCATTTTATCTTTCACATGTATCACAGTGTATTCTCAACGAATAGCATTCCAGCAATAATTCCATAACCAAGAACAAGTAAACACTTAACTGAAGCAATTAGCCAATTATTATCCAATCACATTAATCAACCAGAAAGATCGATAATAATAATATACTGCTTCATGAAATTTAATAAAATCAATTTCCGTAAAGGATTGCCGTATTTTCCCTACCTGGATTTCAAAGCTAAACAAAGATCCACGTCACTACTGGAATAGTTAAGCTCCACATACTTATCCACGTCACTATCGAAATAGCTAAACTCCATGTACTTGATCAAGCTGCTTGATCACTCCCAATGTGTAACATCCCACATCGTCCAGGGGACTGGATTATGTAAGCCTTATATGTATATTCTCATCTCTACCTAGCACGACACCTTTTGGAAGCTCACTGGCTTCGGATTTCATTGGAACTCCGAAGTTAAGCGAGTTCGAGCGAGAGCAATCCTAGGATGGGTGACCCACTAGGAGTTCCCAGAAACAAAACCGTGAGAGCGTGG